AATTTGTGAGTAAGTCTCGGAATAGTGACCTGTCGTGGGGGGTTTTAACCCTCCCCCAGGGTGCGCCACTGGCCAAGAATATAACACCACCGATGTCGTATTTCCCATAATACAACAGCGTGATGCATTTTATGTATTTAAGACCGGCATCTGAAAGTGAAATTGAGGGAATTATTAAAACACTTAAGAAGAAAAAATCACCTAGTATTGACAACATTACAGCAGAATCAATAAAAATTATAGATAAACAAATCATCAAACCGTTGGTGGCACTAATAAACTTAATATTTAAAACTAGTCAATGTTTAAACAAAATCAAGGAAAGAGTTGTAATTGCTATATACAAGAAAGGAAATAAACTAAGTTTCTGTCAAATATGGAAACAAACAAAAAAAATGAATCGTAAGACAATAAACCATGGTAAGCCACATAATGATGATTTAATAAAAGAGTTTTTTAATGTAGCTCCCCAGACTGTTTGTTGATATGAAATGATAAAAAACATTTTTTGGCAAATAATTTTCACATTAATGAACTAAAGAATGCTTTAAGAAATTAAAAAAGTACTGCTCCGGGTTTTGATTAAATAAAGTATCCAATGTTAGAGAACCTACCTATTATAGCAAAAAGGTTTCTTCTACAAATTTTTTATGAGATGCTTTCAGGTGAGTGCATTGAAGATTTTAGAACAATTATAATCACACCGATTCCTAAACAAGGTAAAGACCCTAATTTGGCCCATTCTTATAGACCAATTTCATAGAAAGGAATGGTGGCTACATAAAAAGACCTGCTTACGCCCTGTCAGTTTGCATTCAAAAGAGGAGTGGGTACGCTAGATGCACTTACAACCTTAGTAACACATATTCAAAATAATTTCTCTAGAAATAACTTTCTTCCAACAATTTTTATTGATATTAAAAAAGCATATGACACCTTAAGCTTAAATATTTTGAGTAAAAAAATGATTATTGGTTTTAAAATTCCTAAGGCTATTATCTAGCTATTACTAGTATATGCTATTATCAGATTATACTCAGAAAGACATGTTTCTGACATAAATAAATTAAAGTTGGAAAAATATCAAAGAAGAGAGATGAAGATTTTGGATTTTTAATGGATACTTACAATGTTGTAGAAATATGGTTGGAAGAAAACCACCTTCAACTGTCGACCACAAAATCAGCAATGACCATTTTCAGTAGACATAATATTCCCAATATAGAAATATTTACAGTAAAACAACGAGAAATTCGTTTTAAAAAGGTAATTAAATATTTGAGTATACTGGATCACAAGCTCACATGAAAATTTCACATACAATATATGTTAAATAGATGTGAAAATGGCCTAAACTTTCTGAAAATGACAACTAAAATTTGGTAAATCTTCAGACTTCCTTACTTTTTTATAGAACGTACATTCGCTCTATCGTAGATTATGGATGTTGATTATATGGATCTGCCAGCAAAAGCTTATTACAGTCATTCCATATATTTATTTTCATATAAAAAATTATTACAGTCATTCCATTTATTTATTTGTAAAGCCCAAGCAGGTTGCGTTCACTAATTTTGGTTGTTATTTTTAATAACTATGACCATTTACTATAATCTTTTATTTGTCCTTTCCAAATGTCTCATTGTACAACTTACATAAAGATAAGAATCCCTACAGCTGAGATTTGCTAGTTGAAGCTATAATAATGAAATTGGCATGTCGTTTTATAGTTACAGGATTGTTATAGCATAATCTGGATTAATGGGATCCAAGACCAGCTATCGAAAATTGGATTTAAAACAAAATTAGAAGAATCTGTCTGTAGATGTACAAAAGGAAAGAGTCAAGTTCTAAATTAGTTTTCTTTAAGATAACTGGACACCATTCCTTTCTTTAAGACATAAATTGAGAAGATGATGGTAAATATTACTAATTATTTAACTTTTATGTACTTTTGGTAGCTTGGTTCTTAATTAAAAAGAAAATAAGAAACGAATATGAAACAACGTTGAAGACAAAGAAAATTCAGAATCGCAAAGTCACAAAGAAGCATAAACAGAATCAAAGCAAAATAAACACAAGAAGAAAAATTTCCATTTTAGTCACTTCACAAAATTTAACTGTACTTGATTATGCACAGCTTCTGATGCGCATGTCTATTTTTAAATACAGTTAATATTGAAGATCAATGAAAAATGTAGTACGTATAGCATTATGCATATTGCACAAAAATACACTATTGTGTAAATTAGAGATTAGTAGACAAAAAATTCCCATCATAACACCTACCTCCTCCGTCTTTTAAAATTTACGATCGAGTTGTCGACCTCCAAATTGCCGGAGTAGAGGCCACTAATTCATGGCGATCCTCGATCAACATTCGATAATCGTGGCCGCCAAATCAGGGTCGATTCTAAAGTACCATTCTATTCATCTAACAATTTAATAATAAGAGCATTTTTTAAACGGTTATTTATTATGTACAAGTGTTTATTTGATAAATAACTTTAATTAAATTGGAATAGATACGATGTTTCCGCCTTTATCTTTTATCAAAAGATTGTAAACAAAAGTATAAATTTGATAATTATGAAGAAATTATGCATTAATGAAATACGCAGAATATAATATTAGTTCTATTATTCATCACAGAGTATCCAATCGTTCATTTTGATTCTGACATAAAACATGATTTTCTGCTGTAGATTAGTTGGAGTACTGTAGTACTGAGTATTGGTAGAAAATAAGGATTTTGTATGTAAAAATCCTGAATAGGTCTTCATCCCTTGAGTTGATTAAAGAGTAACTACCAAATGGCAATTGATTAATAAGTACTAGATTGTTTGTCAAATACTATGAATCTATATTTTGTTGAAAGCTTTAATACCCTTATAAATTCTGTATAAACAAAATAGATCATCAGAAAAACTAAATTTTCCTTTCCTCTAATAAAGTTTTAAAGATTTATAGTAACTGACTCTCAATAGACTGGTAAATAGTTTCTAATCAACTGCTACGTTTATTTAGCATCCAACCACCATCGATTTATTATTTTAATACTTATATTCAAGCTCATAATTTCTTGTCTACGTTGACAGAATGTATCTTCTTCATCTACTTCTTCTTTTTCTTCCTCTGTATAAGCAGTTCGCATATGTCATTATTAGTCTTACACTGGCTTTATAAATTGTTGACTTCATCTTAGTTTTAATGTGTGTGTTTCGCCATATAGTGTCATTAAGGCGTCCTGCCAGTCTATTTGCTCTTTGTACTTGATCTCTCACTTCTTTGTCCAGGTATCCATAGCTAGACAGTATAATTTCCAGGTATTATTACTTGTTTATTACTGATGCGATCAATTTCTATTTTACATCTGGTTGGTTCTTTGCTGACTTCTATTGAGACGAGATTGTCATTTTAAATTTTCTTGCTCTTATGTTAAATTTGTGGACCAGTCTTTGCAGACTATTTTCATCTTGGGCTATCAATATTGCGTAGTTTGCATAACAGAGTATTTTGATTTCTTTGTTTCCCATTCTGTATCCGCTTCCTGTGTTAACGCTTTTGATGATTTCATCCATAATTAAATTGAAGAGCATGGGGCTCAATGAATCCCCTGGTCTTATTTCGCTGCCAATTTCTATGGGTTCTGTAAATTGTCCATCTAATCTGACTTCCATTTTGTTGTTTTGGTAGATGCTTTTGATAGTTTTGATAATATTTAGGGTAACTGATCTATTATACAGAAGATGTATTACGTCTTTGAGTCCTACTCTCTCAAACGCTTTCTTTAGGTCAATCAGACACAGAAATGCTGGTTTATTATACTCTAGTAATTTCTCAGTAATCTGCTTTATAACGAATATTGCATCTATCCACGATCTTCCATTACGAAAACCCTGTTGTTCATCTGCTTAACTTATCCTCTGATTTATTAGCACTTGTAAAATTTGAGTTGTTTTAGTGTAGTATTTAAATAATTGATTTGTTAATAAAGATATATGTTATTATTATTAAGTTTATACCTCTGTAGTTTTCTGTCTATTTTTTAAGGTTATTGCCGTACTTAGCAAGGGGCTGCTGGTTTTTTTCGATTTTTTTAGATTTCGTCAAAATTAATACAGCAAATAGTCCATATTTTTAACTTTGGATTGAATTAACCACTTAGATAACAAAAGGTTCATTTTAACAGTAGTCAGCCATGTATAAAAGTAAATGCACGATGAGGTTCGAGTAATAGACTTTAAACTCCAATAGTCGGCCGTTAGTTCTGATACATAAAACTGGATCTTCTAATTAGCCTTCTTCGGTCCATCTTTGGACATAAGCCTCCCCAATCCTTTTCCATTCTTCTCTGTCTGTCGCTACAGTCATCCACCTAGAGCCCACGTGCTTCTTGATATCATCTGCCCATCTCATTTGGGGCCTTCATCTGCTTCGTTTATATTCCCACGGTCTCCAACTTATAAGAATTTTGTTCCATCGTTCTTCTTTTTGTCTTATATTGTGTCCGGCAAATCTCCATTTCAATTTTGCAACTTCTTGTCTAACATCCCTCACTTTTGTTTTCTCTCTTATCCACTCGTTTCTCTTTTTATCTATTAGTCGTATGTGCAACATTTGTCTTTCCATTGCTCTTTGGGTTTTTATGATTTTGTCCATGTTTGCTTTTGTAAATGTCCACGTTTGGGAACCATAAGTAAGAACAGGGAGTACGCATTGATTGTATACTTTGGTCTTAAGATGCTGTGGATATCTTTTGTTTTTAAGAATGTAGCTTAGTTTGCCAAATGCCGCCCATGCCAGTCTAACTCGTCTCTTTATCTCTGCTGTTTGGTTCTCTTTGTTAAGTTTTATTAACTGGCATTAGACTGGATCCTAATGCCTTTGAATTAGGATTAAATTTATGGTACTGCTTTTTAACATAAAAATCTTTTATTATAGATTGTCATTATGTCGAAAAGACCAATCCACCGGTATAAAGAAGAGCAATTGTCACAATGACCGCAATAAGAAATGGGATAAAAATTAATGAAGCTAGTCGAGTTTTTAGAATACCACGAGGAACCCTACAAGATCGGCTACATTTAAGAGTCCCAGAAGTACCCCGTAAAATGGAATCAGACTCAGTACTTTCTAAAGAAGAAGAGACTGCCTTGAAAGAGTGGTGCATAGCCTTAGTACAATGTGGCTTCCCCTTAAAACTCGACGATCTTCTTAATACTATCCATAATAATATTTCACAAGAGGACACAACTAGACCTAATCCATTTGTAAATAATAGGTCGGGAAAAAATGGTATCAGTCATTTTTTAGACGAAATCCTGAGTTAAATGAAAGGACACCCGATAATATATCTAAGGGCCGAGCAGCTGTAACCATAGAAAGTATTCGGAAGTGATTTACTGAATTACTGAAGCACTTAGAAGATATAAACAGGACTGATATTTTGACTGACCCAGATCGTATGTTTAATGGTGATGAGACCAGTTTTTACCATCGAGTTAGAATCTATGGAGAGGGCATCACGTAACTAAAAACGACCTAACTTCGGCCATATTGGTATTATTGTTTTGAAACTTTTGACAAATCGTATATTATGTTTGGTTATATTTGTTGTTTTTCGAATATTTTCAGTTTAATAATAATTTTATAGAAACTGTAATATATTGTGATAGTGCATAATAATGGTTTCTTGTTCTCAACGTAGTTGCAGTAGCAGAAGTAATGTTAATAAAAAATCTTCAGGAATATCGTTCCACAGGTTATTATACAAATATGTAAACAAAGTAATGGCCCGTACTTCAGAGAATAAATTAATACTATTTGACTGTATTAATTTATCTTTATATATAATATATCGTGTTTTTAGTGTTTACCGCTCACTGTTTACCGACAATTCAATTAGCCAGGCACAAATAAATGACATAAGTTTTCCTAATAATACGCATAATCAATCAGACTTAGTGTCACAATCAGTTCAAGTTTTTAATATAAGTTTACCAAATATAGATTATACACTGGAAAATAATTTGAACAATTTGGCAGAAAGTAACTTAAATGACTTAAAAGTCATACCACAAAATCATGAAGTCCAGGAAACACAACAATCAGAAGTTGCTAAATTTAATGCAAACTCCCCAGAAGATCTGAACTGTCACAAAGAACCTCCGACACATGATAAGTTGAAAATATCATATAAGGAAGCTAAAACAGAAACATATATTAACCAGGACAAGATGGAGGATGATAAAGAAAATCGAGTGAAACACAAACTTTTACAACACCAATTACGAAGAATATAAAAATAACAAATAAAGAGTGTAGGAACCCAAACCCCACCGAAAATGATATTTTGTAAAAAAATAATACACAAAATATGCAAAGCAAATTAAATGAATTGACAGTCCAAAAAATATCAAAAACAAAATAAATATCTTGTCCAATGTTGATGCCAAACCAATAATCTATCACCCGTTTTAGATAAGTATTTAACTTTACCTAGTACATCTTAAAGACCATACCATTAATAGAATAAAAGCCATTTTCTCCGATGAGTGGAGACAGTTTAAGAAGCAGAAGGAAGAAATTAAGGAGCAGAAAAAGAACGATATATTGATTGAAAAATTAAAAGACTGGAAGCTAAAGAAAAGAGGGCAAAAGAAAGACAAAAGAAAAAAGAATAATTACAAATAAAAAGCTAAAAAGCTATTGAAGTCCAAAAACATTAAAAAGAACAAGAACTGACTAGTGACACAGAAATAAACGAATTAAAGAATATTGGTTGTGACAATTGTCCTGCGTGGTTTCACCTAAAATGTACTGAATTTGCTGGTAACGTTTATGAGAATATAAATAATAAAGAGTTTCTATGTCCAATATGCAAGAATAAGTAAGTGGCTGACTACAGGGTAGACATGGCTGACTTACGGAGAAATGAGGCTGACTACAACAGGTGAAAAGTGCCATATTTTGTAAAGTGTTTTTTTTATATAAATATAACATAATGATAGCATTTAGTTAATCTCTTTCGATAATTTAATAAACAAAGTTTCTGATAAAAATATTTGTTTTTATTTTTATTTTTTTATTTTTATTTTTATATTTAACTTTTATTTTTTTTTTATATGCAATTGAAACAAATTAACATTCTCACTAAGAGGTTGACTACTGGGTGTTTACCATATTCTAATTTTAGATTCATATTTTTAATATTCTTTTTAATTATAATTGAGCAGTTGATTTTAACTTTTTTTTAGTTAAAATCATTATTAATTCATTTTGATTAAATGTTTTCAGTAAGTAAATTATTGAATGCTTCCCCAATTTTTCCGAAGACTATGCGTCATCCGAGGAATTCTTTGCTGTACTGAGAAAAGTAAAGTAAAAGGGCATCGTCTTCGTGGGCAAAGACCCGATGAACGGCTAGTGTTGCGCGGTCGTCGAGCCGAAGAACATGCATCTTTCGTTCTTCTTCTTTACACCATTCCGCCATGCTTGACCCATTTCACGGCCTGGAGTGCTCCATGTTAAAGCTCAAAGACCCTCCTTCGGCCCCGCCAGGTCACCAACGAGAGTACCATTCTGCATTCTGCGATTACGGGTGCTACATCAAAAGTAGTGCAACAAAAAGTTACATTATTTGTAGCAAATATATTAGTTTATTTATATGATTATTTTATTAAATACACATTCACGGCTTGGAACTTGACGACTTTTGTATTTTTAAACAAATATTTAATTACATAAAATTTAAATTTTAATTAAATAAATTACCATATGACATATAACTTCTGAAAAATATATCTGGTCAGCTTAGAATGGAAAATCGAAGATTGGAAAGAATTTAAAATTACAAAGTAATTGGCAAAAATCCCAGTGGTTTGCGCTATGCCATATTTTAAAAATACCGAGAAGTAAAAACTTAAGTTTAGTGTACCTATATTATTATGTATTATAAAATTCTTTCGATAATAAGTACAAAGATAGTACTTTCTGTAGATGTTTCTTTTTATTTACACAAACACAAAACGACATCAACCGCGCAGGGCTATTAGTGGATATAACAAAAATACAAGAAATATTACATTAAATACAATTGAATAACTTGATGTCTCTTAAGTAGGTTAACGCTGTTGAAATTTTTTGGGTGAGTTTTGAGATCATCATCTGTGAATCTGTGGGATCTTCTTATTCCATGAATTGAGGACAATCAAGCAGGATATGTTTAATGGTATCAGTAGTGGATCAGAGCAGCTGGAGCTGGAGCAGATAGGTAGTGGTTCTTCTGTTATTAAGTATTTATGTGTTGGCTAAGGCAGTTAATAATAACTTGGTTTCTTCTATCCGGAAGAGTCTCTACGACAGCATTTATTTTTGGGCAAATTATATTTAATTTATACCTAATTGTTCCCAATGATTTTGAAATGATTAGTACAGTGGGTTTTCACCAGGTTCTTGGCTTATGTTTTGAATTTTGCAGTATGGTTTGAGCTGATTCGACTTTCGTTTGCCAGTGGATCTGCATTTTCATTTAAAGATTTGAAAATAATTAGGATAGTGGTCTAGAATTTCCATGAATAAATGTTTATTTATTGTGGAATTTGTAGTTGATTTGGGATACTTTTGAAAGTATTAAGTCGATAGTTAATGGGTGGTTTGTCCATAGGGGATAGCTTACATTTATATTTAGCGATACATTAAGTTGATTCCTATCGAAAGTTGTGAGCTTTATTCTTTCTATGACGGGTGTAGAGTTTTTAGTCTTTATGTTAGGAGAAAGACCAGGGTTGCAGATGAGGAAGAACATAGAATGCTGTTTCTAAGATAATATATTTGCAGTATAGTTCAAAGATATTTGCTGTCGTCTTATATGTAAGAAGGGTTCTACAGTTAGAACTTGCATAACTAGCTAAATACTGTTTAGTTTTTTTAAAGTGGTTTTACATGCAGCAGTATTTGAAAGGCCTAATTAATATTTTATGATTAGCACCCCCAAAATTTGTTGGAAATATGTTGAGTATATTTAATCTCTTTTGACAGGAAAGCTGTAGTTTATTTATGTACGAATTACAATTTAAAATCTCTCAAAAGTTAGACTTGAAAGTTTATTTCTTTTGACTGCTCTAAAGGTAAGTTATTTAATGTTATATTAGTAGTAACGTGGGTTTTATTTTTATTAAAAATAATGTATCGTGTTTTTTGCAGTCGATCACCATCGATGACTTTAACTTTGAAGGCATTAGAGAATTCAAGTATCTTGGAACAACAATAACTGAAGACAATAACGGTTCACAAGAAATAAACAACAGGATTCAGGCCGGCAACAGATGTCTTTTTACTGTCCAAAACCTTATAAAATCAAAACAACTAACACGACGTACGAAGATACAGGTCTATAAAACAATCATACGACCCGTTGTGATGTATGGAAGCGAAACGTGGACAATAACAAAGGCAAACGAAGAAAGACTATGTGTTTGGGAAAGAAAAATCCTAAGGAAGATCTTTGGTCCTGTGCTGGATGAAGCATCAGGACAATATAGGATAAGAACTAACAAAGAACTCGAAGAACTTTACACGGACGAGAACATCATAAAAGAAATAAAGTCCAGAAGACTTCAATGGACAGAAGACCTCAGAAGACATTCTGACGAACGAACAGTAAGACTGATGTGGGAGGAAGTCCCAACTGGAAGGAGACTCCGGTGGCGAGATAATGTAGCAGAAGACCTAAGCAGTATGGGCGTGGAGAATTGCATGGAGGTTGCTCAAGACAGAAAACAGAGGAGGCATGTTGTTGAGTCGGCTAAAATCCACGAAGGGTTGTAAAGCCACGAAGTAAGTTTTTTTGCAGTAGAAAAAACAAATCCCGTTTTTATTGTTCATTTATAAAGCCAGTTTAGGAAACTTTGTATAATTTTTGTTACTGTCATTACATTATTTAATTTAGTACAAATAACAATGTCATCTGCGTAAAGACTAGCTTTAAATGTGTGCTTTAATTACATCCATAATATTATTAAAAGCGATTTAGAATAAAGTTGGACTAAGAATCGAACCTTAAGGGATTTTATTGTCTAGTATATTAGATGAGCTTGTAACACCATTTATTCTAACTTGAATTTAGTGATTTTTTAAAAAGTTTTTTTATAAATGCTAGTATGTGACCTTGAATGCCAGTATTTTTCAATGTTGTTGACATTGTTGCCATTGTTGTTGAATTTGACTGAATTCATTATGTCTCCGGCTTCTATACAACATGTAGCTTCTCCTTTTCAAAAAATTTTAAAGTGTTTGTCTTTGTGTATTGTATTTTGTATTGTTATGTCCA